ACATACATGTGAAACCTGTTGAATCCTTATTGGGAAGCCAAAGTGGGTTATCAAAAATCAAGAACAAAATAAGATGCATAGACAAAAGAAGCACAATGCAGCTAATGTGGCAGGTCAGGATTCTCAGATGAGGCACTAATCAAGAGCATCATATTGGTTCTGAAACCAAGGAGGTTGCCATTGACTCCTTCCATGACCCCCCAGAATCATATGGTAGGCCTTTATGTCAGATGGCCAATGTGGTACTCCTTCAACTTCATTTGCATATATAGCAGGTAATATTGCCTCTATCTACAATGCACCCACCCTTGCGGGCCTTGCCTTAATTCCCTATGGATTATTGACTCAAGGGCTTCCAATCACATGACTAGTAAGTCAAATTTATTTCAATCTTACAGCCTTTTGTCTAGAAGAGATAAAGTCAAACTTGTTGATAGATCCTTCTCTTCCATTGCAAACCAAGGATCGATATCTCTTCCTCACGGCTTGACTCTTACTAATGTGCCACATGTTCCAAATAACCGAACCGATCAACCGATTAACCAACTGGTTTTGGTTCAGTTCCAGTTTGGTTCAAGAAAATGCCCCACTGTTCGGTTAACTGAACCGTGAGCACCCCTAGTGCTTAGTTGCCTAATCACCTAGGCAGGTGCCTAGGTGTCACCTAGTGTCTCAAAAGTAAACTTGTTTTTCCTAGTGTTTCTAAGGTTGTGTTTCAGAAATAAACCTTTTCTTTGTAATGTTTCAAGGCTAGTGTCTCAAAAGTAACCATTTTCTTCCTATTGTTTCAAGGCTAGTCCTAGAAATAACCATCGCCTAGTAAAAGAAGGGGCTGTTCTTTTTTGTCATATAAAAAGAAGAAAAAAATCAACACATAAGCCAAGGGTGGAGCCCCTGTTTTTTGTCTCAAAAAAGAGAAAGACAAAAATGCTAAAAAATATGAAGGGGTGAAGGCCCAATTCTTATTTAAAAAAAAATGCAAGAATAAAAACATGAAAATGATGATTGTTTTAAAAAATATGTATGTATGTATGTATATATGTATGTATACATACATACATACATACATATATATGTATAGAGAGAGGGGGGAAAAGAAGAGAGAGAGAGAGAGAGAGAGAGAGCAAACTATGTAAGAGTAGACAGCCTTAGCTAACCACTACAAAGAATGTTTGTCAACTACAACTCCCCCCTTAATGTATCATACCCCAAAACATCTTATCTCTTTGTACCCCCAGTTTTGCTAGACCATTTATCTTGTTGGCAGATAGAGGTATCCATATGATACTTGTTCTTAATTCCTTCACAGCTTCACTAAGGGGCTGTTTCATAACAGCTGAAGTGGCTTAACTGAAAATTTGATTGCTTTGTCTATTAGTGAATAAGTTTTTAAGGAGGTTGTGGATTTCTTAATTGCTGAAGCTGAAGTTAGGTGGATTACTATACCCTTGAATATTTTATGATTTAATTATTTTATCCACTAAAAGACAAAGCAATATGTCAGTCAGTTCAGCAACTTCAGCCATTATCAAACGGCCCCTAACTCTTTAACCTCTCTAAGTGCAAGTGCATGTCTGTACTTCCAAGAACCCTCCTAACCCCTTCCCAACCACCCTGCACAACTCATGAGTATCCTCAATCATGAGATTTCTGCAATTCAGTGATTATTGCCTTATAATACCCAGCAGAATCACAATCAACTTTGCCCTCATTGGGTCCCCTACCCCAATAGGTCCTAAGTATACAACATGTGTCCCTTACGGTTCCTAAGAATGCCTCCAACTCCTAAAATCCTTGTTTTGCCTAGCCTGCAGCTATCAAAATTCAATTTGGTGTACAAAGGAGGTAGTGGGCATTCAGCATTCAGTATGGATATAGCTGAAACAAGTAAGCCACTAATTTCCGGTTTTAGATGACACCATCAATTGTGAAGATTGCAAATAACTCAAAAGTTTTGACCCAATGTGCCACCATAGTTGGGCTGTCATCAACGTTGTACAATGACACCAAGTGTGGGAGCAACTTTCTATCTTGAGCTAGGAGCCATTCATTAATACTTACTCCATAATGTGTGATGACACCACTGCCCTTACTTAAGCAATTATATAACTATCATGTACTAACTAAAACTACTCAATAGTTTTAAAGTAGAAACAAAGGGAAATGGCTAACCAACCCACCCCTCTTTTTTTTTTTTTTTTGTTGATCAGCAACACAAAATTGATTCAATAGATTAAAAAAGAGGTACAACAAAGATTTGTGGGCACAAAAACCAAGCCCACCCAGAAACTATTCACTATTTACAGAATTGCCCAGAACATAGTGTCTTTGAGTTCTTTGCTTTGCCAAACCATCAGCCAAACTGTTAGCAGACCTCCTAATCAATCGTATTTGGATCATCATATCTTTAGAAATCTGCTTGAATCTCCTGAATTCATTCCTTAACTTCCATATGATTCCTTCCCTTTTTTCAACCAGCCCACAACTACCTTTGAATCACCTTCAGTGATCAGCTTAGTAATCCCCATTTCTTTAGTTTTCTCTACTCCATAGATTGCTGCCATTAATTCCAATCTCACCACATCTCCATGCTGAATAGGACCTGAGTACAAAGATAGAATGTTTCCATTTTCTTCCCTAATCACCCCACCTATACCCGATGGTCCAGGATTGCCCATACAACTACCATCAAAGTTTAATTTCTTCCACCCAACACATGTAGGAGACCAGGCCTCATGAACAATCTGTCTTCTAGACGAAGAACCCGCGATTATTCCCCACGATCTGAAAAAATCTTCAACCTTAAAGTCAGCAAAGAGCTTTAAAGTGCTCACCCAATGTGCTACTACCAACCAACCCCTCTTAGCCTATAAATACATGTAATATACTCTCTTTTTCACAACAGATAACAGAGTTGTGTTTTTTCTTCTTTTTGTTTTTTTATTTTTTTTAATAGGTAAAGTATAATTTCATTAAGCTAAGAGGCCGTACATGAGAATATGTACCAAAAGAAACCTTAACGGATTAACCCCCCCCCGGCAAAAAATAATAGTTCCCATAGATGTTGATTCCAGTAAAACGATAGGTGCTAATTCTTAGGTTAATTTTCTTCCATGTTCTTATCAGTGTTTTTAAAGCGCAAGGGCCAATTTGCGCCTAAGGCGCAAGGCGAGGCGCACGCCTTCTTAAAAAAGGCGCAAAATTACAAAAAGATAAACTAAAAAATCAAAAAAAAAGTCAGAAAATTCAAAAAAATGCCAAAAAATTTTAAAAAAAAATGCAAAAAAATAGTAAACATAATGTTAATAAAAAACATAAACTTAAATTTTAAAATAAATTATTTAAAAAAACCTATTATCTAAAATTAAAATACATAAACATAACATGTAAAGTGTATTCAAATGAAAATTTAAAAATAAAAGCAAACATATAAAGCATTTTCAAGCATGTTAAACCCACAATCTCTTTTTTTCCTTAATTGCATTGCTTCAAGTAATTAATGTGATGTAAAACATATTGCATTCTTGATTCTATGAGTCGCCTTTGTCCCATGCTCCTCGAAGCAAGCCCGAACAAGTCTATGTTAGGGTCTGAAATTCTTATTTCTCACATAAAAAATAATGATTTTATAACTTTCATTGCCTTTTAAGAAGATATTTTATTGCAATGAACGAATGAAGCTTCAGGACCCTAACATAGACTTGTTCGGGCTTGCCTCGAGGAGCGTGGTTGGAGATCTGGGGGCAGAGACCCCAGCCCAGCGGTTAGACTCAAAAAAAAAAGCAAAATGCGCAAATATTTATAAAGGCGCACGCCTGGGCTGAGGCGCAAGGCGCATCAGGCATGTGCCTTTTGAAAGGGGTGTGCCTAGGACCTGGGCAAGGCGCATACCCCAAAATGCGCCTCGCCTGTGCGCCTAGGGGCGCCTTTTAAATCACTGGTTCTTATATTATAGGATCATCCTACATTAGTTTCATATCAAAGCTAAATCATGCATTAGTTGCTCAACTCATCACAGAGTCACCCCTATCAAACCAACAAACAATATATTGTCTATCCAATCACTAAAAACGCTATAGATGCCAGAGAACCCCAACTTCAAAAGGTGCTAACAATTTTGAATCACAATCCCTTTACCAATGACATAGATTCAAACTCCCTCTAGGAAAATTGCAAGGCTATTTACGAAGGATAGCAAGCAAAGACTCCCATAACTTGACCACCCCACCTTAAATAAAATACTTGGGCCTAAAACATAAAAATAGGCAATCCTAGGTAGCCTAGTTCCCAAAAGAAGTTTTTTTTATGTTCCCAACAACATTGATAATTTCACAAGGGTTAAACACCATTTCATAGTAAACAACGTTGGATAAAGTAGATTTGGTTATCCTTATAATAATATAAAATTCTTCCATTACAACTATATCTAAAATTACCCAAGATGTAAAAATTAATTTAAAGGCCAATTTCATTCTTACAACCAAGGATGTAAGCCAACCTCTCCGTGTCAACTTCAATGTTAGGACAAATATTCCCGAGCATATTTTTTTATTAATAAGTAATTGTGGAGAATAAAAGAAAAAAAATAAGGCAAAGAAACAACATGATAGTTATTACTTTCTATTTTAAATTTCCTACCGGGTAATTCATACACTAATCCACAAGTTCGCAATTTTCTTAAATTGGCATAACAGCAAAATAGTATAGTATTTTAAAGCAACTAACAAATAAGAATGACAATTAGCAAATTAATAATTAGAATAATGCACGAAAAGAGCAATAATGTTAGTAGCAAATTACTAAAAATATTTGCAGCTTGCAGATAATGAAGAAGAAGAAGAAAAAGGGGAGGAATCCCCCGCTTCACATCGAGAAACTCTCCACAGACAGAAAGCGCGGGAGACCCCTTTCAAAGGAACGGAGGGCCCGTGGTTCCAGGAAAAACATCGAACAGAAGAAAAGAAGAAGAAGAAAGAAAGAAAGAAAGAAGAAAAGAATACCTGTAACGGTCAAAGCCCGCCTCGTCGACGGATCTTCACAGCGGGGTCTTGAACTGAAAACCCTCTTCGACCTCAGTCTTGCATAAGCTTTTAGAGAAAACCTAGCCCCCCCAGCCCGCTTATTTGTCCTAGCTCTTTGCAAATGAAAGACTTTTGGAGGGTTTCACACATCTACAAATTACAATATGTTAATATGTGATGAGGAGCATTGTTTAATGATGCACCCGCATCAGTTGGAAAGACTAAAAATGAGAAGAAGTGCCTTGTACGAGACCGGTTCCTTACGCAGCGCACCTCACAGGGACATCCCATCATATATCGGGAGAGATCGGCTTGAATAAGTGCAAGACCCGTTCGAACAGCCTTTAAAGCATTGCATAGTGTAGTACTCATGGGGAGATGTTCCCAAAATCCAATAGACCGGGATTTGCCTCAGAGGGCGTTGTGAGGTGCTTGTAAGAAGCAGATCACCCATTCGTCTTGCACAGTATTTGCAAATAAAAACTTTACATATATGGCATCCAGCCTCACATTGGAATATTTCCCTATACATATATATCTTAAACTCACATGGAGTTGTTTCCATGCTGCTACACACTCATGTCTTCACAAATTTCGTATAATTTTTACTTGAAAGAGAGTTTTATTTGCACTATTAAGCTTGCACGTAGTAATTCTAGATGGTGATAACGATAATAATAATGTATTCAAAAATTTATATATATATTTATTTTTTGTTTTTATATGCTTTTTGTTTTTTATTATTAATCGGATGCATATTGCAAAATCCAAATTTGATTACATAAACACCTTATCTAAATATGTGATAATTGGATCAAGTTGTGAAGTTTTAAATATCATTGACAGGTCTACCTGCTTGGTTAAATTAGAGTTATGCAATGATTTACGTCTAAAAATACAAATTAAGAAAGAAAAATTCAACTCTAAAAAAGAGTTGGGAGATTTCTGCTACCAGTTTAGAATGGCTCCTGAGATCCTCAACCTCCAGACCGGCCTATAGAAAAAATAAATTAAAGTCTTATAAGAAAAAGGAAGACAAGAAATATAAGAAATCAAAAAGATTTTCTAAAATAAGAAACACTTCCGCCCCAACCTGTTTCAAATGTGGGCAGAAAGGGCACTGTGCTAATAAATGTTTTAAAAATAAAAATTCCTCAAAGAAAATTAATGAATTAGGAGAAGCAGAAGAATAAGAAGTGTTACAAAGGGAATCCTCTACTTCCTCTGAATAATGTTGTGCCAATGGCATATGTACTTGTAAAGATGAAACAAATTCAGAAAATGAAGAGTTAGGGAAAATTAATGTATTAATCTTGAATGAAAAACATCTTCTAGAAATACTATATGAGATTATTGATGAGGAATCCAGAAAAAAAAAATATATGCTTATGGCCCTTCAAAGCAGAGATAAGGAAATGGCTAAAAGGTCATTCGATGAGAAAAATATAATTTCATATAGTGAGATTATTAAAAGAACCCAGGTAGAAAACTCTAGACCTCCTACCTTGCATGATCTACAAGAGGTCAATCAATTAAAAAAGGAAATAAAAACCCTAAAAATTAGGATTGATCATTTAGAAGCTGAAAGATTTTGGGTAGAACAATCAGAAAAATCATCAGAACAAGAACCCACTAAATTCATTGGAGATGGCGAAGAGTTTATATACTCCATAGAAGAAGTAAAGTACTAAAAGTGGTACTCAAGAATCACCATTATAATCAAGGATTTCAACCTCTCTGTGGTAGCCCTAATCGACTCAGGAGCAGACACCAATTGTATTAGAGAAGGCGTTGCACCTTCTAGATACTCTGAGAAAACCTCTCAATAGGTTAATGCCGCTGATGAGAGAAAACTAGGGATAAAATATAAGATCCCTGTTGCTCATTCCTGTAGCCAAGAAACTTGTCTAAAGTCCACTTTCCTTATGGTAAAAGACTTGAGGCAAGAGGTTATTTTGGGCGCTCCATTTTTAATATCCATCATTCCTTGCCAAATTGATCCATTAAGTATCACGGCAACTATATGAGAAATTTCCGTCACCTACAAATTATGCCAAAAACCATAGGCCTCCACGATTAACACTCTAAAAGAGAGTTTAAGAGGCAAAGTCAAATTTATCTCTGAATTGCAAACAGAGATAAAAGAAAAGCAACTCATTAAGTTGCTAAATGAACCAAAGACCCAGCTGGAAATTGAAAATTTCCAAACAAAAATAGAAAATGAGATATGCGCTGAAATCCTAGCGCATTTGGCATAGGAAAAAACACATGGCCAATCTTCCATATGAAAAAGGATTTAGCAAAGCTAAAATCCCAACAAAAGCCCGACCACTCCAAATGAATAACTGATTATTAGAAATTTGTAAAAAAGAAATCCAATAATTATTAGATAAAGGTCTAATTAGACCAAGTAAGTCTCCATGGAGTTGTCCAACATTCTATGTTGAGAATGCCGCAGAAATAGAAAGAGGAATTCCAAGGCTTGTAATAAACTATAAGCCATTAAATAGAGCCTTATGATGGATTAGGTACCCAATCCCTAATAAACAAGACTTAATAAATCGTTTATACGATGCAGAAATATTTTCCAAATTTGACCTAAAATCAAATTACTAGCTAATCATAATAGAAGAAAATGACAGATATAAAACCGCCTTTATAGTTCCTTTTGGGCATTATGAATGGAATGTTATGCCTTTTGGCTTAAAAAATGCCCCTTAAGAATTCCAAAGAATTATAAATGAGATTTTTACCCTGTACACTCAATTTATAATAGTGTACATCGATGATGTGTCGATCTATTCCTCATCTATAAAATCCCATTGGAAACATCTGAACATATTTCTAAGAATAATGAAGGATAATGGATTAGTAATATCAGCTAGAAAAATGAAACTCTTTCAAACAAAGATCAGATTTTTAGGATATCAAATTTCCAAGGGGAAAATCACACCAATACAAAGGGTAATAGATTTTGCAGATAAGATTCCCAATGGAATTAAGGAAAAAACCCAGCTCCAAAGATTTTTAGGTAGTCTAAGTTATGTAGCATACTACTATAAAGAGCTAGCTCATGATCGACAACTGCTTCAAAAGAGACTTAAGAAGAACCCCCTATAATGGAATAAGCAGTTTACTTAAACAGTGAAAAGAATCAAGCAAAGAGTAAAAACTCTTCCATGTCTCAACATTCCTCACCCAAAAATCCCTAAAATAGTAGAAACCAATGCTAGTGAATTAGGATATGGAGGAATCCTAAAACATAAAAGAAACTAGAAAGATGAAATTGTCTGATTTACTTTTGGAACCCGGAATGACACCCAGAAAAAAATATTCTACTATTAAAAAAATAAATGCTCAGCATAGTTCTTTGCATCACTAAATTTTCAAAGTGATTTGATAAATCAGCATTTTACTCTACAAATTGATTGCAAATCCGCCAAGGAAATTTTGGAAAAGGACGTCAAAAACTTGTTTCGAAACATATTTTTGCTAGATGGTAGGCTATTTTATCAGTATTTAATTTTGAAATTAAATATATTAAAGGATCTGAAAATACTCTACCAGACTTTCTAACCAGGGAAATCTTGCAAGGTTATCTAATTCAAGATGACCGACAGAAGGCCATGTCTTCCAATAAGTCATAATTCAAGGCATTCAAGAGGAACTAATGAGTTCAATCCGATATCTAATCAAACCGGATCAAGCTCAAGGACTAATCAGTCCAAGGATTAATAAGTCCCCCTTGTTATCTCCCTTAATTAGGGATCCATCCCCAGTCATGAATGAGGCTAATTCAAGCCAATATATTTCTAATTCATCGGAGTTCATTGTAACAATCTCTCATGAAGAAGCCTCCTCCGTCTCCTCTCACGTCAACTCGGAAGGAGCCCTACAGCAATTAGCCCTCTCAATCCTTGATGGGCATCATTTCATAGTCTGTGCGCAAAATAAATACCAAAATTTTTATGGAGAAATTCTCTTACATACCAGATCCGTAAGAATTCAGCATTATTTCAGGGATCCAAATAAGACAGAATTGGCTTATTCTAAGTTAGTAATAGCAAAATTCATGTCTTTGACAGCATGGGGTGACGCTAGCAAACCCAAATTCATCACCAAACCTATCTACATGAGACCCAAAATATTCAACTACTGGAACTATCAAGATGCATGGTATAAAGTCTTCTTGTTACAAAATTCCATTTTTAGACAATCATGGTTTATCAGATTTTCTGAAAATTTTCAAGGTTCATATCCTGATTAGGCATATGTTTGGTGGACCTCTTGGGGAGCCATAGAAGATATTTTCCCTCGCCAAGAGTTTATTGACAAATATAGAGTGTTTGGTAAGGGGAGATCATATCTAGAATTCGATCATGTTAAACAATTCAAATTCTTTAAAACATTTCGTCTCCCTTGGATTCTAAAATGGAGTTACCATCTTGATACTTTCTGGATGCCCCCATCCATTGACCGAATAATTGAAATTAAGTGGTGGGATAAATTCAATCTCATGGAGACCCTTAAGCCCGCTTCAGATGAAGATGACATTTTCTAGTCTATCTTTGAGTCATACATGGGCAAGCTCCAGAGTAAGTTTCCGGATCTGGACCCATTAGAACTTGAAGACATGTCCCTTCGAATGACCGAAATAATGAAAGAAAAAAGTAAAGGAATCTCGAAGGACATCGAGATAGAGAGTGTCCGATCTCTTAGCCCACACTAAGGTCACTCTTCAAGTCATTGATTGAAGATTCCATCTCATCTTGAACAGTAAAAGCTAAGACAGTTGGTCCTAATAGGAAAATATGAAGATAAGTTAGCAACCTAATAATTCAGATTGTGTGAAGGAAAAGTTAAAAGGCATCTCAATAATAAAAGCCTTAAAGATAAGAACAAATGAAATGGCTCCTCGTTGTCTCTCGCTCTCGAAGCTTCAACAACCTCTATATAAGGAGCTATTCTCTTTGATTAGAGTGTGCAAAAATTTCTGAAGTGCAGAAGTCTCCAAGTTCTCAGTGCTTTGTATTAATTTGAGTGCTTTTCTTTCCGAGTGATCTTAGAAGGGTGTTATTTGTGAGCTTTGTAATTTTGTAAGAAATTGTGTACTGTTGTATCATCGTTAAGAATCTATCTGTTTGAT